TTATAAATAAATTTTTTAAATTGTTTTATAAATGTACTACGTTTCAAGATTTTTTAATTATTTTTTATGTAATCAGCGCCAGTTTTTGCAAATTTAAAAAATTTTATTTAAAACAATTATTATTTTTAATGTTTTAAATAATCAATTTCATAATTTTATTATTTAAATTATTTTAATATTGAGTTAAATATTTTTTTTCACCTTCATTTTAAAATTTTTTATTGTTTGAATAAAATAAATTAAAAATAAATTAAATTAAAAATAATTTTTTTTTGTTTCATAATTAATAAAATAAAATTAATAAATTAAAATCGTTACTTAAAAATTTCTTTTTCAATTAAATTATAAACAAATTTTTCTGAATTAATTTAAAAAAATAAGATTTTTTAAAAATAATATTTTTGTGTTTTAAATTAAATTAAATTAAATTTGATTATTGTGTTATACGTTATAGCTTATATTATAACTTTATTTTTGCTTAATATTCATTTGCTAAATTAATGCTACACAGTGCAAAAATATTTCTCGGTTGTTCCTTTTAATAATATTTTTTGTTTATATATCTTATTTATATAAGCAAACATCACTAATACCATAGTTCAAAAAATGTTATTATTTTATTATTATTATGAATTTTTTTTTTTGTTTTATTTGAGTTCTTAATGTATAAAATATTTTTTATTATATTTAAACGCTACAGTACCGAAAAACAAAGCTTTTCAAGGCATTTTTATGTCAGACTCTTGCTTTAACGATTTAATAACTCAACTACTTATAAACAATATATGTTTTATATATAATATAGTATATAGTATATTATATTATATTTTTATTTTTAATTGAGTGTAAGTATTGTATTTTATGTAATTTTTTTGAAAGTATCGTACGAGTTGTGTTGAGGGCATTTTCATTACTGGCAGCATTTATAGCAATTATAGTAAATATTTGTCTAGAAGTGTGGTCTATGTCAGTTTTGGATTTATTTAGATATATCTGATTTGTTTGAAATGTTTATTAAATAAAGTTAGACTTGCATGCATTATTATTCATTTATAGTTTTTGGCAATCTTAAGTACTCAATTTTATATATTTATAGTGATTGTGAGAAATTACTAAAAATAATTTTAAAAATTAAAAAATAATAATAAATAAAAAGTAAAAAAAAATTTTTGAAACAAAATAATATAAATAATTTTTTTTTGTTATTTATTAATTCAAACAAAACAGTATCAAAAAACTAGATTACATATAAAAAAAATTCAAAAATTTGATTGTTAAATTAAATTAATTAAAATTAATTATTTTTTTGAAAACTAATTAAATTTATTAATTAATTAAAAATTATTATTAAAATAACATTTTTCTATCTAAATTTTATTTTTATTATATATTAATTTAATTAATGAATCATTATTAAAACCGCTTATTCTTGATTTCAATGTATAAATAATACATCATATTTAGATTAATACAGACAATATAGATTTGGGTCTCCAGGAACAGCCTTACCTAATGCTTAGCTCATTGGGTAATGTCAGACTATGTTTTGTTGAAAATTTTCTGCAAGACGAGCTTAAAAATATTCGTCCTCTGCGTAAAACTAGCTAATCATATTATATATATTGTGATGAGATATATAATTTCATTTCATAAAGAATATTACCAGTGTCTTTATATTGTTTGTTATTCACACTCTCAAAGTTGAATCACATATCATCTCATAGCATAGCATACAAGAGCTTGTAAAATTTACCACATTATCATATTGTAAGTATAATACCAATATGTATTATATTGGTAAATATGTATATAATCTATTTATGTATTAAAATCTACTGTCTATATGGATCATATAGCAAATATTGAATAAAAGTAATTAATTAAAGAAAATTAATTGAATAATGAATCTATTAAAATAATTGGATTGGTATTTGAATCTAACTACACATTACTTTGATTTCTACAAAAGGACTTGCTATTTCAACGTCTCCATTAGCTAAACAAACCGCTATCATGCTATACTTAAAGTTCACAATAGCATTGTTTTGTATAGAAGTTTCTTCGATATATTCTTACGGTAATATAGTTTTCTATGTTATTGCTTAGGGCCATGTAGACAGTTATGAACACGTCAGATGTAAAATTGTTGTTGTTTAAGCGTAAATCAAAAAATTTAAAATGAGAGCTGGCGAGACATTTAGATTTAATTCTAAACTCTCTAATGAGACTTTCTACTCTTAATCACACACTAGCTAGAATAGTGTTGCTCCCAAATAATATATATATATATGTATTGAGTGATTATGCTCTTATGTCCACACAAAATATATTTTCTTTTAGACCGTGATGTTGACGCGGTCTAAAATATATATATATCACAAAATAATACATTTTCTAAAACCAAGACACCGGGGTCTGAATTTAGATTCCACAAGATTTGGTCTATATAAAAAGTTTTAAATTCAGGCACAACCAAAAATTAAAATACTAACAGTAACAATTCATAATTGTGATAGTAGTAGTAACAGTAAATAGTAACAGCTCTCAATTGAAATTTTACTATTTGTATAATATATCTTCATGGTCTCGACCAGATAGAGCGTAAAACTGCAATTAACACTGACTGATTGTATAACAGAGCCCATATATAAATAATTATTTCTCTCATATAGCTAGTAACTCATATTGAGATGGGGTACTTCGTCGGCTGAAAAATCAATTGACACTGCGATTGTAGTATTGTGTAGTATTGATCGTATCGTATATTGTGTAGTATCCAGTAGTATTGATCACTTATGTTATTAGATTACCCTCAATTCTTAATCATAAGTAATTGTAGTTGGGAACAGATTTGCTAGATTACATGTGGAACTGGAATTCAAAAAAAAACAATTTCTGTTTTCAGGTAATTTGCAAAAGTAATTAAAGGAAGAATAAACAATAGAACTTCTGAACAATTAAAAATTTACTATTGGGTAAAAATTGGGTTTTTTCAATTCGACTAGTAAGCTCGCAACTATATTCCTAATTTGCATTACCTTGTAATTATAATGTAATTAGTAATGGAATTGATTTTTACAGCTCTGGATATAGATACAAACATACTTTTAATATAGATCTACTAATAGTCTTTTATAAAAATTAAATTAAATATTAGAAGTATGTTGGTCAAAAACATAGAAAGAAATATGTCTATGTCTTCATGAGGGTTTAGTTAACAGCAGTTTTATTTATTTTTTAGAAATGTTCTGTATCGAGAATATAATATATGTAAAATTGAATGACTAAAAAAAAAAATAATAATATTTGGAAAGCTATTAACTAAACTATTAACTGAAGAAAATTAAATATTTTGTTTGAAATAAAAATTAACTACTTTCTCTCATACTAAATACGAGTACATGCGCATAATTACTAAAATTTCTAAAGACTTTTAATTAAAACTTTTTATAGTATATTGCTCAACAAAAAAAATATATATTTAAATAAACTATAACATATCAAAATTATGAAAAGAAAACAAATAAATTTGTAAAATACATTTATTAAAAAATGTAAAAATAATATTTATATATATTTTTATAGTTACACAGACAGAAGAAAGAAAAAATTCAACAAAAATTACTACATTTTACAAACAAATTATAACTAATAAAATAAAAATATTCATATATTAACTAATAACTAAAATGATTTCTCATAATGTTAAATGTATTAATTAAAATTAATAATAATAATAAAAACAAAATACAATTGTTTAATAATAAAATTTGTTTTGTTTTTTGTTTTTTTTCTCCTTCATTTTTAAAATATAGAACACATATTTTATTATTTTTTTATAAAAAAAAAAACAAAATTATTTTTTGTTGTTGCTAATTTCTTAAAAATCTTTTCACTTTTATACAAATTTTTTTGTTTTACAAATTTAAAAACAAACAAATTATTTTATTTTATTTAAAAGCAATTAATTTTCTTTTTTATACAACATATATATTTTATATGTGTTTATATATATAAATATTTTATATATATAAATAAGCATGTTTTATATGTACATGCTTATTTTCATAACTTTTAAGAATTATTTATTTTTTTTTTGAATATTGTTTGTTATTTTTTTTAAACATATACAATTAAAGTAAATTATTAAAATATACACTTATAAAATTATATTAATAATAGCAGACATTTTAGTTTAATATTTAGTTTAAATATACTTTTTGTATTAGTTTATAGGTTTTTCTTTTTATATATTACATACATAATGCTTAATAGGAAAATATGTGTGTGTGTGTGTGTATTTTTTTTTTAATTAATTTATAAATTTTCGTAAACATAATTTATAAATATTATGCACTTTTTGCATTCACTATACAACATATATTTGCATATACATAATTTTTCTTTAGTAATAACGTACTTAAATTTTTAGGTTTGATTTTTAAAATAAACTATATTTAAAAATAATATTTTTTGTCAGGATTATTTTTAAAAAAAAGTTTCTTTTTGGATTTTTATTTTTTATTTTTCTCACATATATTATTTAAGTTCTAACTTAAGTTGAAGAAAATTCTTCGAATTTGTTAGTAAAACTAAGTAAAAGTAGCAATTATACACATATTTTTACTTCTTTACATATTAATTGCTACTCTTTTTTTATGTACTAAAGGATTTTTAGGTATTTCTAGAAAATCATATATATATATATATACATATATAGTAATTTCATATATATATTGTTTTTATTTTCTATTTTTGTGTAAAATTAAATTAAATCAAAGTATTGCTTTGTCGGCAAAAATACAAAAATGTAACATAATTATAATAACATTTAATGTTAATTAACATAAAAGCATAAACATAAGCAGAACATGTTAATTGATGAGTTTAGCGGGAAGGGTGCATTTTTAAATGAATTAATGTAATGAGTGTGTGTGCATGTTACAATATTTAAAAAAAAATCTGTTATAATAATAAAAAATATTTTTGTTTGTTTATTATATTATTTGTTTAAATAATTCAGTCATCAGGTAACATTGTTTTAAAAACAACAACAGTAACAGCAGCAGGCGCTTCATCATTATGTTGTGGCGATTGAAGACTGTTATTATGTTGTGTGCAGTTATGTTGATATTGTGGCTGTGATGAATGAGTGTACATATGACTTTGTTGTTGTTGTTGTTGTTGTTGTTGTTGTTGCAGTTGCTTGTGCTCTTGTTGGGTTAGCTCCTGTTTAGTAACAGAAGCTGTTAAATGTAAATTATTTGTTGCTAATGAGGTGGGTGTTGGTGTATGTGATGGGGTTGTTGATATTGTTGTTGTTAATGTTGCTACATTTGCTGTTGACGATAATGTTGCTACTGTTGTTGTTGTTGTTGTTGCTGTTGGTGTTGTTAAAAGTCTTTCAGGCAGTTCGTCCGTTTGAGTTTGCGTTGTTACTGTTACCGGTTTTGTATTTGAGAGTTTTATCGTTTGCGTTGCAATAGCTTGACAATTGTAGCTACTGTTACTGTTACTGCTACTGTTGCTGTTGCTGTTGCTGTTACTATTGTTGCTACTCATTGTTGTTTGTTTAAAATATGTTAAGTCTGTTGTATTAATACAATTATTTATTGTTTGTTTTGTGTAAGACATTGTTGTTGCATTATTTGCATTTACTGTTGTCCCACAATTGGCAGTATCGGTTTTTGGTATAATTACTATATCTTGTTGTTGTTGTTGCTGTTGCTGTTGCTGCAACATAGCCAGCTTTTGTTGCTGTTGTTGCAAAAGCATTTGTTGTTGCTTTTGCTTTTGTGCAGTATAATTGAATTTTTTAAATATTGGCAGTGTTGTTGTTTGTTGAGTGGGATTGTTTTGAGCCAGAGTTAGAAGTTGTTGTTCTTCTTGATGTTGTTGTTGCTGTTGTTGTTGCTGTTGCTTCTGTTGCTGTCGAGCTGTTGTTATTTCACTTAAGCTCGCCAATGTTACAGCCGTTTTTAGTATATGTGCAGGTGTTGTTGCATGTTGCATTGAATGCTGTTGCAGCTGTTGCTCTTCTTGTTGCTGCAGTTGTTCTGTGGTGGCAGCTCCTGGCCTTTGTGACAGTAATGCTGTTTGTAGGATTGATGTATATTGCGGCATTGTTATTGTACTTGTTGTTTGCTTAATTGTTCCATCAACATTATTTTGTTGTTGATTAAGTCTTTTATTCTCCAACTTTGTTGTTGTGGCAGTTGAAAAAGATGCAATTGAACTACTACATATTGCAGTATGTTGATTAAATACATTGGCAGTTGTATTAGTGGCAGTTTTAGTTAGATTTTCTGTATTCTTGCTTATTGTTGTTGTTGTGGTTTTGCCTATTTGCTCAGCAGCAGCTGTTAATGTTGCTAATGTTGCCGCCGCACCAGCAAGTAATGATGTTTTTAATATGGAAGTTGCTGGCATAATTTGAATTCTATCTTCAATTTGTTGCTCTTGGCGTTGTTGTTGTTCCTTTTGTTGATTTGTTTGTTTTATTTCTTGTATTTCTGTTACATTTTCTATGGTTACTGGCATTTGCATTTCATACTCCTTCTCAATCTTTATTTTTGGTAGCTCCAATTGTGGTAAAATATTTTGTTGCTGTTGCTGATGTTGTTGTCGTCCTTGCTTACCATATTGCATTGCATTTTTCTTAACTATTGTTGCTACCATCTTTTTCCGTGCTTTACTGGCATGTATTTGCTGTACTTGTTGTTGTTGTTGTTGTTGTATATGTAATCTGGTTAACTCTTTAGGCGGATCATCATCGATCGGTAGTAGACCACGCTGAAGCATTTGCTACCTTATGCTGGCAGAGTTAAGAACGAAGGGAACGTAAAACATTTTACTTTCGAGCAAAAGACTAGCAGCTGCTTGTATCTTTAAATATAAAAACAAAAAGTTAATATATAAATATATTAGCGAAATATATATTAATTATGAAGTTCCTTTTTTTATTTAATTTAACTCATTTGCAATCTGTCAATAACAATAATAAATAAAGCGAAAAATTAATTAATAATAATATAGTCTTCTAAACCCTTAAGTCGGGCTACCTGCTACTATTATTCTCGATATGGGAAGTGACACTGGGACGGTTGAGTCTATTGTGCCCCCTTCTGGGTTTAAAATAACTCTCTAAACCTCTTGATAGGTTCTGTTCGTTCAGTTGTTTGTTGTTTGTCTTCGTTTTAAATTTAGGTTATACTTGAAACTCTTAACTATTTCCTAAACACAATCTTTGCCGTCATTTGACGAGAGTTTCCGTTTACCATGTCAAACTTTTAATAAAAGCCACTACCGAAAAATTGTGGTATATGTTCAATCAAGTCGAAACGGGTTTCAGGAATTGCAGCTATGGCGACCTATAAACTGTGAGCGTGTATAGTCTTTTTTACTTCCCAAATTGGAAAGATTATCGGTACTTATACAGTTCTAAGTAGACAGTAATCATATATGCATTACATAGTCCCGAAGTTCAATATACATACTCTATCCAACTACTAATACTGTCTTCAACATCTAGGAAAATCTATTATCTTTTTTAATCCATTATTTTGATAGTTCTTTTCTCTCCATAAAGAGTGATCTGGATTTTAAATGTACTAAAAGTACACTGCTTCTCGTAAAATATTTTAACGGGATCCTAAAAGTCTCTAACTGATTGCATTTCTGGATTAATAACTATGTTTAAAGTCACTCGTCAACTTGTTTTTTTTTTGTATATGATGGCAAAGAGCTTCCGTACTTTATCTTAGTCTACATAAACGTAGTATTAAATAGGCTTTTCTTCTTTATCTTCTTTATTGCAAAAACACTTGAAATTTGTCCATTTAAATTAAATTTTAAAAATAATTTATGCTTGCGTTATCATCTTAACAAAGTGGGCATGTCTGAGGAAACAAGAATTTTGTTTCGAGTCGGAAGAGATCTCTAGTCACACTAGAGATCTGGGCCAGGAGGTGACTGTCTTCAACAGCTGACATCTTGGCTTGTACTTGAGGTAATACACATTACTTTTTCTAAAATTTAACTACTCCTTTCGTATACGCTATATAACATAAATTATATCTATATAACTAATATAACACTATATGAGTATATCTGTTATTCTTACTTTTAGAAATATCTAAATTTCAGATTGTTTATATTTTTGTTTAATCTCTCTCGATCTTATAATTTACTTAATAGTTTACCACTTACTTCCGGTATATGTGACAATAGTTCACTCAATCGTGCTTGTGGGTTTTGTGGTGACGAATGCTGTAGATATGTGCGCAAAACCTGCACATAACGTTCCTGTATACTTTCCAGTTCCACTTCTGCTGAAATTAGAGTGAAAATTATTTTCAAATATCCTATTAAGTACAAGAGAAATATATTGCTCTTCACTTACCTTTATTCAATAAAATGTAAACCTTGAGACAAACATATTCTTCCATTTTGAGTTTAATGCGACGAAACATAATCGTTATTTGTGTCATTTTATCCACCATATGACCAACGTCTAATTTTAATTGCTCCATTGCAATCGGTTGACCCATGAGTGTGGTTAGGCAAGTTTGCAAGGTATTAAGATGCGCATTGACTTCAGCAACAAACTCGGGATCATCCTTTTGCAAGTGTGAAGTATGGTGTTGTCCTCCCATGTGATGGTGAGGTGAAGTGTCTCCGGAGTGATGATTGTGCTGGTGATGATTAGATGTAGGTGAATTTGCTCTGCTTGGCGATTGTAAGCGTGTTGTTGTTGTTGTGGATGTGGCAATGGATATATTAGTGTTCCCACTACCGATTGCCTTTTTTCCATGTAACGCTTGATATGCTGCAGTTGTAAGTATGAGTATCTCATGCCATTTATCAGTCAAAAGTTTCGTATGTATTTCAACGGGTATTTCTAAGTAAAATGGTAGTTTTTTAGTCCATGACACCAGTTTGTGTACAATGGAATCCCCAATATTACATAATTTCTCACTTATTTCCGATTTATCCTCGAGGAATTCGGAAAAGTGTGGCAATGTTGCAATATCCTCCATGGCATCGCAATCGATCAGCGTCTGTATCATGGAAAGTGCATGCTCATAAGAGATTTGACGATCTTTTGATGAACTGACGGCCGAGTCTAGCCGATGTCGTAAATGCACTATTTCGCTGGGATTTGTGAGGGCAGTCTTAAGTATTGTACCGTTAACCAAATGCGAGGGTAATTTAATCGCAGTCTCTTGAGTTTGCGATTGAGAATGTTGCTGTTGCTGTTGTTGCTGCTGCTGCTGCTGCTGTGATTGTTGATGATGATGATGGTGTTGCGTATGATGTTGTGAAGAAGCTGCCGAAGTTGGTGGTTGATTATGCAAATGTGTCGAAGGACTATGTAATGGACCAGAGCCGGTATGCTGACTTGTATGCGGTGAGCCGTGGAGACTATGATGAGGCGAATGCAATTGTTGTTGCTGTAGTTGTTGATGGTGAGGCGAATGTAGTTGTTGTTGCTGTGAGTGTAAGTGCTCTTGCTTCAGAAGTAAGTGCTCTTGCTTCATTGCAGGTCCTAAAAACATTGGTTTCAGTTCATTTTGTCCAAGCGCAGCATTAAGTCCAGCTTGTGCGCTTAGCAATTTCGATTGTTGATGCTGCGCTGCAGCGGCAACAGCTGCGGCTGCAGCCAATTGCTGTTGATGTAAATGCTGTTGTGGTGACAGCAGATGCTGATGTGGAGATAACTGTGATTGATGATGCGGATGCTGTTGCTGATGCGGTGAATGTAAAAGTTGCTGCTGTTGTTGTTGCTGTAATTGTTGTTTCTGGGCGGATTTTTTGTGTTTTTTGTATTTGACCTTGTATAAATTATAAACTGCGCCACTATTACGCCCACCAGGCATGCGATCTTCGCGGACAGCTGGAATATGATTTAATAGAACGAAATTTCATTGTTATATGAATAGAATTACATACCTTGCAGCACCATGCCTTGTTCGATGCATTTCTTGAACCGACAATACTGACAACGGTTACGCTGAGCTTTGGTAATTTCACATGTGCCATCTGCAACGCAGGTATAAACGCGACGATTTTGTACGGTGCGTTTGAAGAAGCCTTTGCAACTAAAAATAAAAAAAAAAAGGAAATGTAAACGGTTCATAATATTCTAATAACAAAAATAAAATATATTTCTCTTACCCTTCACACGTTATAATCCCATAATGTAGTCCAGTAGCCTTGTCTTCACAAATCATGCAAACCAGTGGCTGTTCGTCCTCTTCTGTGGGTTCATGAGGAGCATCGATTGGTCGAGTAAGACCAGTTGAATTCGAATTTCCCCATTGCTGTTGCGCACTTAAATTAAGTGCATGTAACTGCCCTGGCGGTAACTGAGAATAGTCCCCTGCCCAAAGCCGTTCCATATTGAGTGCATGTGGTGTTCGAAATTGATGTGGTCGAGGTCGTACATCTTGTATACGCGTTTGACCCAATGACAATAATAGCTGTGCAGCTTCTTCATTGTTTTGTGGAGAAGGACCAGGTGTATGTGTTGGAGTTAAAGATCCTGTAGATGGAGAGGACGCAGATTGCAAAGACGACTGAGATGAATGATGTGATTGCGAATGTAAAGAATTCGCACTATGTTGCTGATGTTGTTGTTGTGCATTTGGTGATTGATGAGGGCCTGACTGATTTGGTGATGGTCCAGCTGATTGTGGTGGTGGTTCGTATCCCCACACCATTGTACGCACACCACAACTTTCACCCATAATAACCGTTGGAGTGCCTCGAGGTGGTGTTTGCGAAGGAGTTTGTGGTGAAAGTTGCGATGAAGAGGAGGACGATGAATGATGCGGTGATGGTGATTGGCAAGGTCCGCCAGGTCTTAAATTTCCTAAAGGTCCACCAATTACTTCTGGTTTAACACCATTTATTCGTGCATTTGAGACCCAGACCATACGTTGAGCAGCCGCTGCAGCTGCCGCAGCAGCACCGGGTTGCATAAGTTGCGGTAGACCCGAAGCGGCAGCAGCTGCAACTTGTTGCTGTACTTCGTTTTTGACACGAAAAAGCATAGCAGCATCTCGATTTGGATGGCGCAGTGATTGTAATGAAGCAGGATGCATAAGTGCTTGTGCCATATTGCCAAGAGCTTGTGGTGGCAACTGAGGCGGAGGAGGTGGCTGTTGCTGTTGATGATGCGGATGACGTGGTGAATGATGTCGCTGCGTGTTACCACCATTCCCAACCAAAGAACCACCATGATTCATCATTTGTGATGATGCAGTTTCCTTTTTGATGGGCACATGTTGCTGTGATTGCTGTTGTTGCTGCAGCATGTGATGTTGCGGCGATTGCGATGACTGTGACGAATGTCGTGATGATGGTGACATGGCGTTTGGTGACATTTGCGTTGAGCGAGACATAGCGGCTGCCTGCTGCAGCAGTTGTATTTGTTGTTGCTGTGTAAGATGTTGCATTGAATGACTAAGCAAATGTTGTTGTGGCAGTTGAACACCGCTTGGTGGACTACTTTTGCGAAGTTGCGGCTGCGTTAGTTGTTGGTGTAAATGATGCGTTTGCACAATTGGAGGTGGTGGCTGGTGATGTGGTGCTGTTGGTTGTGGTGAAGAAGAACTTGTATGATGCGTGCTAGACGCAGATGAAGTTGCTGTAGTACCATATGAGGACTGCTGCTGTTGTAATGGTTCAGACTTGATACGAGATGGAGTCACTAGCACAGTAACATGCTGTTGCGACTGCGTAGGACCTTTGGACTGCTGCTGTTGTTGCTGCTGTTGTTGTTGCTGTTGTTGCTGTTGCTGCTGTTGTTGCTGCTGGTGATAAGAGAGCATTTTTGTAGGAGAACCCAAAATGCGTTCCTCTTTCACAGAACGTATTACACTTAAATTGGTGACACTGCATTCACCACCACCACTACTACCGATACTACTATGCAATCCATTTGTTGGCATATGAGAACTTGTGGTAGTTGAGGGTTTCTCGTCAAGAGAATCGGGTGATGCACGACTACTACCACTGCCATTACTTGTTGAACTGCTGCTTGCCGTACCATTATTATGCGGTGGTGTAGGCGTCGCACGTGCATGTAAACCACTTGGTGTTAGTCGTTCCATAATGCTTGTACCAGTAGTACCATTACCACTAATATCAGGTGCTGGTGACATTCGGACAGTTGGCGGTGGTGGTGACATCACAGATGATGCAGCTGCTGCTGACACAGTGCCGCATGACGAGTGTATTTCAGTCTGTTGTTGTTGTTGTAGTTGCTGCTGTTCAATCTTAATTAAGCTGGCAGCATTGGTTGTTGATTTGTTGGATGCCATTACAACGGCTGCTGCAACACCAGTTGTTGGTGGTAGTGTATTAGTGCATGTTGTTGCCGAGCTACTTGAACATGCCGATGCACTGGCGATGGACGATGTAGCTGTTAGTGTAACTATTGGCAGCGCAGAAGCTGCGCCGCTATCGCACATTTTAGGCGACATTGGTGCTAATAAATCGGGCGATGATGTTGATGTATCGGCTACGGACTCTCCATCACTGCTGCATCTTGAATCGATTTTACGTCGTTTCAGTTTTAGATCCTGAAATAGGCTCATTTTATCGAGCTCGCTGTACGGGCCACGGCTCAGTGTCATAATTCCTAAAGTAGACAAGCAAATAAAATAAATTAATTAGTTTTTGATATATAATATTATGTTTGTTTTGGAATATTAATATATTAGGCAGTATAAGTATAATTAACAATATAAGAAAAGTAATTAATATTAAAAAAACATACTTAAATTAAAATAAAAATAATTATTTATGAATAATTAAATATAAGAAATAATTCCAAGACCACTGAATACAATACTTGATTTGGCAATACTTGAAACAGCTGTATGGTTAGCCAAAAATTTAATTAATTAAAACATTATTATGAAAAATTTTTGTTGTTGTAGTTCACTACTTTTCGAAATTTCTTTACCAAATAATTATTTAACAAATCAAATCAATAAACGTTTTTAAGTCACTTCCAGTCCAGAGAGAGGAGGAATATCTATAGGTGTGACAGTTATCAATGATGTTATTATGATGACGGTGGTATGATTCATGATGCCTCTTGTTATTAAAATTGCGTATGTAGGGGTACAAATTATTTTAAATTATTGTTTTATTTTTGTAGTGCTGTTAGCTGGCACTTATGTGAAACACTTCTTAGATTTTTTCGTGTTACTAATTGGTTTTGTTTTTTTTTTCATTTGTTGAGTGCAGTTCATCTGTACTTAGACTGTTATTAATCTCGATATATGCATTTGAGTAATGTCTGTACTCGTGATTGAAGTTAGGAAGTGTATTTACTGATATGAATTTAGGTTAATAAGGTAATTTATTTGCAGAGATTAATGTTTCTGAAATAAATGGACAGCGTTTTGTTGTCATTACAATATTTAATTGTATTTCGTTGAAACATAATAACTATAGGTAAATTTTGTAATGAAGTTTAGGATTTTGAATTACATTAAGGTTCATAAGCAATATATATAGAAAACTAAATGCGTACACGTCGAAAAAGATGGAGAACTGTTGAAGTAAAAATGTCACTACCGATGACATCGACATTCATGCCGATGGATGGAAAATTTGTCAAATTTGAATTATCGTTCGATCGAAAGACCACTAATAATGTTTACACTAGGATGTGTTTGGTTGCAACTCATGCATATCTGAATTCTCCTTTGACGGATATAGCACGACTAACATTTTAACCGGGTTTTATCTGGTTGCATAAAATAAATATTACCAGCAGTGACAAATGTGAAAAATGCAATATATCAGGTTTTAAATACACTTTAGCACATTTGCTTTATTTGTGTCGGATTCTCTTAAACCCTCCACCAATTTTGGGGTGCCGAAGCTCGTACTTGATATTACAGTGAACTAATATTCCAAGAACTAATATAGACAAGACACGCTCATCTTAATTAATGTACACCGCTATGAATGGTCTTTAAGAACTCCAAACTAGTATCGCTATGGATATACTAAGTCTAAGCATGATCTGGGTTATCTAGCTTTTCTCACCTCAAGATTTTTGAAATCAACAACGTCAAAAAATGTTTTTTATTTTATGTAATAAAAATAATTTTTAAATTTCCATTTTTATTTTTGTAATCTAATAGTTCTCATTTCAAAATCGTTAACATTGTTTTATTTTATTTATTTTATATGAAAGAAGGGTCAAAAACCTTCGTTAGCATTTTGAATAAAGAAAAGCAAAATAGAAATTTGAATTTAAATTTAAATTTAAATAACAAAAAAAAGCGTGTAAAACGCGTAGGTCTCGGTTCGGAACTGAAATAACCCAACTCCAAAGCCAAGTTAAAATATTTTTATTTTGTCTTTATTTTGGCAATGCAGAGTGAAAGTCTTTCTTTTCAAAATTTTTTTTCAAATAGTTGAAAATGTTAGCTGTTCATAAAGGCAGAGCTTGACTTTGAATTTATTTGTTAAAGTAATTAACATTTCCAAAAATTTTTTCTTTTATTTTTATATATATATTTTTATAGAGAATATAAAAAAAAATTTTTAGTACACTTAACTAAAAGTTTAGTTTAAACACTAAAAGTTTTTCGGTTTATATACTAATAATTGTCATAATTGGTTTTATTTACTAATCCAATTAACAGCAGTTTTTTGGTTAGTTATATATAGTTTGCTATGTATTACCATTGGTATATAAAAATTAAAATAACATAAAAATAATATTTGCTAAAAATCAAAATATGAAATAAAAAGTGTGTTTAATATACTATAAAAAATTATATAAAAGAATGTATCATAAAACAATATATATTATAGAAAAACATATATTACATAAAAATATATATTAGGTATGAATATATATTATATAAAAAGGTATATTTTATAAATAAAAATATTTATTTCATAAAAATATATATCATATAAAAATATATATTATATAAAAATATATATTATATAAAAATATGTCTTAGATAAAAATATATATGAGATAACAATATTTATTTTATATACATATATATCAATATATCATTAAATGTATACTACATAAAAATATATATTTTATAAAAATATATATTATATAAAAATATATATAATATAAAAATATATATTAGATAAAAATATATATTCTATAAAATTATAAATTATTTGAAATTATATATTATAAAAATATATTTTTTAGAAAACATATATTACATGAAAAAAATTTATTAAAACGTGTATGTTTATTATATAAAAATATATATTTTTAATTAAAAATATAAAATTACAACTGAATTTAATAATCTACAAACACGTATATTCAATATATAAACGTATAAAACGTATTATTAAAATATATATTATATATAAACACTATATATTATAAAAAAATTAAATTAAAATAATATTTATTCTTTAGAAGTAACAAAGAATGAAGTAGTGAAGCAACAACAACAAATTTTTAATTAATTTATTGAAATTTGATTCAATAAATTATTTAAAATTTTTGTTGTAGTTGCTTCATTACTGTTTGAACGTTTCTAACTTATAAATAATTTCCTTTCGTTTTAAGACGACTTTTAAAGTTAAAATTTAATAACTTTTATTAGTTTATATATATATGTATCTGGTATGTTTAATAAAAAATAATTATATATATAACAACAAAAATATAATTAATAATAAAAGTAAATAAATAATAATAAAAATATAAATAACAATAAGGTAAAATAATATAAAATAAAAATATTAATAATAATAAATAATAAAAAAATATGTAATATATATAATAATATATAATATAATATAAATATATAAATAAACAATACATAAAAATAATATTTATTTCCGCTTAAAATAATTAAAACTGTTTTTACTCTTATTTAAAAGACGAATCCAGAACCTATAGGTATATAACCAGAACACCCAAAATTATATAAAAAAAAATTATTTTACATTATTGAATATAAATATTTAATTCTATAAGCTACCAAAAACCAAGGCGTTCGTTCCTATTAAATTCTTTAAATCAAATATATATATAATTATATACATATATACGCGTTAATAATTTTAATTTTATTTTTTTTGTTGTTATAAATGTCGTCTAAACTACGTCACAAAGTTAACAGCATTGCTTGCTTTTAGAGGTCAACAGGAAAACCACAAATATGCAAATTGTATCTTTTAATTCATTTAAAATGAACAGACTTTAACTAAAATTTACTATAAGAAAAAAAAATTTGCTATAAAAAAAAAATTAACATTTTATTGTGTGTATTTATAGTTTGTAAGCAAATAGTAATTAAAAATTTACTCCACAATTCTATGCTTCGAAACGTCTGGGCAAGCGCAGACTGAAGACTTATACTTATACGAGTGCACCCAGTCAATTGTGGGTTTAAGTCTCCCACACTCGATCCATGCGTTTTGAATTTTCTAAATATTTTGCTGTTTAATTGTTTATTTTCAATTACGAATGTTTAAATTTATCTCTTTTTTTCTGAGTGAGTGGGAGCACACAACTCCACCTCAATGTGATCAATCATCATTCGTCATGGAGTCAACAAAACAAATAAATTTTCTAATTTTTACAATAGAAAAAAGAAAGTTCAAGTTTTTCTCAAAGGGGTTTTTTTCGGATCTATGTGTAATTAGGCAAAGCTGATTATGATATGAACTCAAATAATTGAAAAATAAATTGAAAAATTTAAATGAGCTTAAAGTTTTTTATGGCAATAAATTAAAAGCTTATATGTATAGAAATATAAATTTTTTTAAAAATATAAATAAAAGTATAATAGAATACAGAGATATATAGGTAGAATATTTAATTAACTATATATATATTTATAAAAAAATTATAAATAATTTAATAATAATTTTATAAAAAAAATTCGTTAGTTATCCAAGAAGGTTAAGATTTCTAACAAAGACGATTACTTGACAAAAAGAGTTATTTGTAGAAAATGTGAAGTATTAAATATTATAACAACCACAACAAATGCTTTATTTAGAGACTTTTAAAACTCCACTCATAGTTTAAAGATCTACTCGATTTTTATTTACTTATTTGTATCCATAATATTCGCCCTAGATTTCGTATACATTGGTACCACTTTCTTTTAGGCGCAAGCATACACTCCAATCAATTTCGAATCATTCACTTTTTATAAACTAAGTGAATGTCAAAATTGAAGTAAAACAATGGCATCATAAGTTTTATAGGAATACAGCTTCAGAAATATTTTTCTAGTTTTATTGGTAGGGGTTTCATTAATATATTATTTATTATTTATCACAAATATTTATATTGTGAACTTACTTATAATAAATTACTAATTTTGCATACATTCTTCTTGACGAAAAAAATTCCTGTGATATAATATGTCCTTGATAAAAAAACAAAAGATGGGAAGACCCAACGATATGCAGGCATCTTTATGCAATTTGGCCATGTTCCACTAACAGGAAATCCATTTCTCTCATTGAAATGCCCCATATTGATGTCAGTCTTGTGGTAGATTTACTTACAGGTCATATAGGTTATGACAGATTAGGTAACTCTGCTAGGAGATTCCCTTTCTATTCTAACTGTCACAGCTGTGCGGAAGTCGATGAAAAAGTGCCTTTTAT